GTGTGCCGGAAATTACACTCAGAAACGCGCAATTATATATCCAGGGCACCTCAAGTATTCAAGCTTGATGTAGCAGTAATAGATTACCACTGGATCTGGCCGTTCTGGAGATACATACCAGCTGGAAACACCAGCAATATGCTCGAAACCCTAGAAATCAACCTCATATACTGCTATACCGATGCTGAGCAAGCTACGCAAGAACGTTTCACTCAGACAGTTGAGATTGAAGTTTTAAAGTTTATCACACGCTTTTTACGTTCAGGTTTCACCGCGTCGTTCCGGGGCCATTCAAACTTTCGAATCAAAACTCTTATCATCAATATGAATACGACCAACCTCCTACAGAGCAATCAAGAGCTTAGTGAAGATAACGTTCCATTTCGAAAAGTCTTGGGTCTCTCACACCTAACATTTGATCCTCTATATCCCGTTGATGCTGCATGCTGTCTGCGTGATTTCGATCGGATAGCAGAGTATGTCAAGGTGTCAATACACAATAGAGTATCGCTATTCACAATTCGTGAGCGAGTAGAAAAGCTTGTTTTCAGTGCTGATGGTCATGTGAGGAAAGAGATCGAGATCGCAAAAGACATCTCAAGGAAGGAGGCAAGGATGATTGAAGAGTATAGGCGAAGGGAGTCTATAGGATCATCGTCCGGGCGAAGTGAAGAAGATGCGTCAATCTAAGATACCAAGTTACTTGTCTTTCAAGACTCTTATTTCCAGGCACATAGTATTAGGCACCTGCTCGCTCCATATCCTTAAATGGCCATAGCTTCCTTGAATGCCTCGGCTAACCACGGCTCATTTTTGACGACAGCGCATGCGACTTGGGTATTAGAAGCATTTTGAACTTCTCACGATCGCTATAAACTCTCCAAAAAAATCGGTAGTCCTCACCAAGATGCCTATTCTTTTACGAGTCAGGCCGCGGCTGCTATTCCGTCCAATACAATGCTACGCCTACTCGACTGCACAAGCGCCTGCTCTCAACATCACCAATGTCCCAGCACCACATTCCGGAAGCATACGAATTCTATCTCTCAATCGGCCAGCCGCACGGAATGCGATATCAAGGCAATTACTCGCTGAGCTGAATCATCAAGTTAACAGCTTACGCGATGAAGGAAATACCGGGCCAACAAGAGCTCTAATCATAGCCAGTGAGGTCGACTCGAGTTTCTGTGCAGGCGCAGACTTGAAAGAACGGGCCACATTCACCCAAAACGAGTAAGTTTGTCGTCGAAAACTGACACTGGCCGACTGACAACATCTGCCAGCACGGCAACTTTCCTATCCTCCCTCCGAGACACATTAACCTCAATCTCACAATTAAGCATACCCACCATTTCGGCCCTGGCCGCACCTGCCTTTGGTGGGGGCCTCGAGCTTGCCCTCACAACACACATGCGTGTTTTTGCATCGACCACCACGGTCGCGCTTCCGGAAACACGCTTGGCAATCATACCTGGCGCAGGAGGAACATACCGGCTCCCCGCACTCATCGGTTTATCACGAGCACGAGACATGATCCTCACAGGGCGTCGAGTTGGGGCACCAGAAGCTTACTTTCTGGGGCTGTGTGATCGTTTAGTGGATGTGACACCAGAAGAAGCCAGCCAAGAAGGCGGAGCCAGGAAAAAGGTGCTTAACGAAGCGATTAAGCTCGCAAGAGACATTTGTGATGGTGGGCCCATTGCTATCAAGGCTGCGCTGGCAGCGGTAGAAGGATGTGCTCTTGGTGAAAAGGCAGAGAATGCCGCGTACGAGCTTGTAGTCAGGACAAAGGATCGTGACGAAGCGCTGGCAGCCTTCAGGGAAAAGCGAAAACCAGTGTTTAAAGGACAGTAAATGTAGATTGTCAAAGAAATCCATCTTCGGACTTCAATTACAGTAAATGTTTGCTGTGCTACCACTTGCCCTATCGGTGTCCATGCGTCCTCTTCAATGGTTTCACATCTTGGATTTGATATCTTCCAGTAACTTGGCCAATTGATCCTTATCACCAGTCTGCATCGGCCAGTGAACCCCTAATCCCTCCTTCTCATTTGGCTTTGGAATCAAATGGAAATGCACATGATCCACCATCTGATGCGCAATTCTGCCATTATTCTGTAAAATATTGTAATCTTCCAGACCCTGTGCGACCGCAATCTGCTTCGTCACAGCAAGCACTTCCGAAAGTTGGTCGTTAGGAATGTCGTGTAGTTTTGCACCATGGTGTTTTGGGATTATGAGCTGTGATTAGCGGGGTTAATAACTGAATTTCTACAGGCAATTGAGTGCACGCACGTACTGAGTGGCCTTTGCTCAAGGGATTGATGTCCAGAAATGCAAATGTCTTTTCCGACTCGAAGATCTTCATCGAGGGGATCTCACCTAGGACATGTTTAGCTTCAAATGAACAGTTAGCCAGGGACAAGAGCGAAAATAGTACCCTTGATAATTTTGCAGAAAAGACAAGCAGCGGAGGCCATTTTGGTACTCAGTTTCAGGATGAGTCTTGTTGACTACTGGTCCGTGACGTGATGTCTAGAATGCAGTGTCAAGCTACCGATTGAGCCGAGCTTTCGGTCCAGCGGGGTAGGTGGGGTAAATTATTAAAGCCATGCCCATGCGTCCATTTCTGCTGGGCAGCTTGTCCGTATCAACATTCTTGTGGCCATATATCTATAATCTATAAATTGAACTAATAGTTTGAAAGAATCATTACTCGGCTTGAACACATCGAATGTGAAATCAACTTTGAACACTTCTCCGTCGAAACCTCTTTTCTAAGATATGCCAGAAGCATCTTATACAGTCATCATGAACCAGTCCATTTCCATTCATCGCATTCGAAATTGGCATAACACCTAAATTCGTTGCTCAAACCCTTCGCGTGCTCGATCTCATAGTCCGTAGTTCTGATTCCGACTTTGTTGTACAGTTTGGTAGTGACCAGGCTTTCCATACGCTCTCCCGTACAGACAATGAGGCGGGTAGATCCGGGTGTCCAGGATTTTGCTAACCATCGTACGGTTAATGCAGCTAGCTTTCATCAGTAAATATTCATCTAATCTACATCCAGTGCGCTAGTGCTCTGGATTTACCTTTGGTCTGACAATCTTCGCTCAAGAATGGCGGATCGCAGATAATGTGATCAAAAGAATTTTGAAGCTCAGGTGGCAGTTGAATCGCTTTTTCAAAATCGTACCGTACAAATTCTTTGAATACTGCAAAGCGTTCGTCGTACTCAAGTAGTTTGATCTCTGGTTGACATTTGTATTCACCCGATATCTATTAAAATGTCAGCGCTAATCCGATACGGAATCTATACAAACCCACAAGTAGATTTTTTAATTGAATGAAAGCGCTTGGAGCAGACACGACTGCTATCTTTGTGTTATCTGTGGCTCCATCGAGTAGCTGTCGACCGAGTATAGTGGCAGTCTTGTCGCTGTACCAAAATTGACTTGCATTCCAATCTTCTGTGAAAGCCTCCATAGATAGCTTGCCTTCAAAATCATCTTCAGCCCGATTTTGTAACTCTTCAAATTTTTTCTGCCTGGCATCCCGCTCGCCATAAAACTCTTTAAGCGCATCTAACGCAGAGCCAGACAGCTGTCTTCACTGATTAGCAACCAAGCTCACTGAGAGAGGGAAATACTTACGGAATATCATCAATATCTTCAACTGACACCATTTCTAGAGACACCTGATTTGGATTTCTGGGTGGCTGTGGCTGTACTTGGAAAGTGGGAAACTTGCAGTGAGCCGTGATCCCGCTATCGATAAGCCACGAGCCTCGGTACAACGAGGGGCATATGTAGGTGAGAGTGACACCATGCACCTTCCGCAATGCTTTACTCTTTCAACGGTTCACAGGATATACTCAACAATGACTGATCGATTGGTACCGCTTCCACAGGTGGAAAAACTCAGTGACCGCGTCATTCGCGTGCTCGGGGGCAATCCTAGCAAAGTAAGCATTCACTCATCAGTATCAACCGTACCCAAGACTCAAACTTATTCCTAGTTTACATTACAAGGTTTGAATCACCCTCTTTTCAGGTTACTTCATTGCATCTAAAATTCAAAGGCACGAACACATACATTGTTGGCCAAGGCGCGCGAAGATTGCTCATCGACACCGGAGAAGGTAAACCAGAATGGATCGCATCCATAAAGTCCGTGCTGGAAAAAAATAACATTACTATTGACAAGACAATCTTGACGCACTGGCATCATGATCACATCCAGGGTGTACCGGATCTGCTTGAGCTTTTACCAGGCACCAGTATCCATAAAAACGACCCGCACGATGATTGGCTCGATATCACCAATGGGCAGAGATTTAGCACTGAGGGCGCAACACTGCGAGCATTCCATTGTCCTGGCCATACTAAAGATCACATGGCGTTTATACTTGAGGAAGAGGACGCCATGTTTACAGCCGACAACGTGCTCGGTCAGGGGACAGCCGTGTTCGAAGACCTCTTGGCGTATATGAAGAGCCTCGACGGCATGGCCAAGCAATTCAAAGGCCGCGCATACCCAGGCCACGGTCCAGTGATTGTAGATGGACCAGCCAAGATATTAGAGTATATCAAGCACCGAAAACAGCGCGAGACGCAGGTACTTGATGTCCTAGCGCAAACGAAGGAGGATGGTTGGACCTCGTTAGATATTGTGAAGGTTATATATAAGGACTATCCCGAGAATCTGTGGGAGCCTGCGGAAAGGGGAGTGCTGCAAATACTGCACAAGCTGCAGAAGGAGGGCAAAGTTGTGTTCAATAAAGAGAAGAAAACATGGGTAGCGAGTGGGAAGTCTAGCCTTTAGAGAACCAATAATATGATGAACCAAAACAACCGAAGTGCGTCTAATGCATGACGCACCCCTCTTTTCTTCATCCTTCCCACTGCCAACATTCTTGTTACTGCGGATTAATCTGGGAACTTTACATTAGATTGTATATATCTATTTTTTTATTTTAACTTCTTCCATAACCTCTGGATACTGTGCCAGAGTGGTTAATGGGTTAGACTTGAATTCTTCGTTCAGTCATCTAATGGCTTCGGCCTCGCAAGTTCGAATCTTGTCAGTATCGGTTACTTTTTGGATATTTGTAATGATTTCATTTTTGTCATTCTTCCATTTCAGATTCAAGGCTCCTCTTGGCCGCTCTCTGGTCCTGGGTTATTTTAATTCTAAGGCTTGTAATTGTGTAAAGTCGGTATCAGAACATTTTTGGTGAATCTAAGGGGTATTGCCTATGGTTATCTCGAGGGAATATAGAAGCACTTAAATACAAGGCGATCCGGACATGTCATGCATAGGTACTGGAGACTTGTATTTTCAAACTTTTTATTGCAATCCAAAAACATTATTTATTCAAAACAAATTATCTTCGTAGAAGAATGATAGAAAGCAGCCCAAACACCGATGCTATGCAATCTGGTGTACCTAATTTATCGCTTCAAAAACAAACCCATCATATCATCACCAGCGACTACACAAATACTCTCCCATCTTTCCCAACAAGTTCTTACAAGGGCATGTTTGGTTGAATCCACCCACCCTGGCTTTGGAGAATGTCCGCGCTCGGCTGCTTAGTGACAGTGTTCTTGCTGTTCTCCTTGTACTTGGCCAGCGTTTGCTCATTTGAATTGAAGTTCCTGTTAATTACGCCGGCCATTCCCATCTGGCAATGATTGCCAACGACCTGAGAGCAGTAGTACCAGAAAGGCTCTTTATTTTGCACCTGGAAGGTGAAGACATTCTTGGCCTCGCCCTGTGCCGTAGCGAAATTGAAGCCAGAGAAGACACCGCTGCCGTTGGCGAGAGGCTCGCAGGGCTTATCGAATGACGACTGCACGACGGAATGATTTTTTGGGTTGAAGTGGAATTCGACAAGGTCGCCTAACTCGGCGACGACGTTGTCTGGCTCAAAATTCAGACCGTTGAATCCGGCAAAGATTCTGTGGATGACGCCGGTAGAACGAATTTGGTTTGCGGGAGCGGCCATTGTGCAACCGACGAAGACACTGGCGGCGAGAGCAATGGAAGTGAAGGCTACCATGTTGAATTTCGAGATCGTGTTTGTAGGTGTTGTAGTATTAGCGAATAGCGTGTAAATAATTCAAGAAAGGAGGAGAGGCTTTGCTGGTATGTTGTGATGATGGCTGGATGGTGGGAACCTTCAGGCAAATACATGTCCACTTATATATATAAAATATCTTGCCTCTCTCCAACATCAGCAAGACTCACGTCTGTCCTTCAGCCATCCGGATCAACGCTTTGCCGTCTCGATGTAAGCCGCCATAGCTGCGATACTAACTCCTTTGAAAGGGTAGCTCAGCCTCAAACTTCTAAGGCCAGTGCCGATAGTGCCGTAATAAGACAACAGCAGACTAAAAGCAACACAGACCTATCTTATTTTCATTGCCTTCCGGTATCCGTCCTGAATGCTCCAATAAGAGAGCCGTGTAGTGGCTGACACTTGTACCTTGGCGTGTCGGGTAAACAGGGCTAAGCTGGTGGCACAGCCCTCCCAGAAAAAAAACCGCTGACAGATGTATGAGATATTTATACATCTGGTTACCTAGGTAGGCATGTTAAGCTCAGTTTTTAGCAAGTGTATTCAAGGATGATGCACGCCTAAGAATCGCATACTTCTCAGCATATTGTAATTAGTTCGGTTTCTGTGCACTCTTCTCGACTTTTGTTTTCATCAGACACAGGGCCAGCCGGGTAGGTTCCGATCCGGAGGCGTGGTAGTTTTCAGCGCCGAGGCTCATTTCCGTGCCTATGTAGCGTCGTTTGTAATTCTTGGGCTATTTTCGTCATATGTAAGCGTTTAGCAAGCGATGAAACTAACGTTTATCTGCTGGCTATTTGAAGCTCATCTTACATATTCTGAACTTATTTTCTCTGCACAGCAATTGGCCGTATTTCACCACAAGAGACTTTTTCAGCAGAAGACAGATGTAGGTAAAAATGCATAGAATGTAAGAATATATGGGTATAATATAGACAACAATAGAAAGAACATATCCAAATCCTGCCAGTCCAATACTAGGGACTGCGGGTTCTGAAGGTGACATTTTTTCAAACATGAGGTCAAAAACAAAACGCCGTTCGCCGCATGCAGTACCATTCACCATCTACTTAGGATCTTTGTGTACATTTTGATCCAAGTACAAATCACACTCATGCGGGTGCTGCGCACAGTATTTGGGCATAAGTGGAGAAGCTTGTACACCAATCGCAAGCAAGTACTCTCGGAAGTTCAAAATCCTTTGTGTCAGTTCTGTCGTCCTCTTCACGCCGTTGGAATCGCGGTTGCCAGACCAAACGAGCTCGGCAAGTGCGGCAGCACGCGGCCAAATCTTCTGGCTAATGACGGTGTCGTCGACTTGCTCAGAGAAGAGAGGAGCAATGGCCCCTTGTACGAGGGACTTCTGAGTTGCGGTGAGGTTGTAGGTGAAGTCGTAGTCGTAGATGCGCTGCCATGTTTTATAAGGTGCGCACCATGAGCCGCCTGTGCCTCCCCAGTTGAAGTTTGCGCCACCGTCGGTTGCGTTGGGGTTGACCATAACATTGTAGCGGGGGTCATTGGATACATAGCCACCGTGTCCACAATCTAGGTAGATGAAGTCAGATGACGAGACAATAACTCTGTAACCTTGAGATGTGAGGTTGGAGATGTGATCGAGACCGTTGTTCCAGGCTTGCAACACGATGTCTTTGGGAACATTGCCGGTGGCAGCGACAGAGGCAGAGAGCTTAACATCTTCCCACATGACAAATGTCTTGTTGACTTGACTGCGGAAGTTGGGAATTGCCTTATCTACCCAGTATTGATAGAGGTCACCCATGCTCTTTCCTGACTTGAAGAAATTGAGGGCGAGAGAGCTAAAGTTGTTGCAGTTGGCGAACAACTCGTCGCCGCCAATGTGAAACCAATTATCTGGGAAGATAGTCGCCATTTCCTTGTAAACTTTGCCGGTCACCTCATAAGTCTTGTTGTTCAGAATATCGAGTTGGCCAGGGTTGGGCTGGACGGCTGTGTGCAAAGCCCAGTTATCGTTGGACCACCAGCTCTCAGTGCATGTTAAAATCGATTCATCGACTTGTTTCCATCCCGAGCTGGCGTGGCCAGGCATGTCGACCTCTGGGATGACGCGAATGCCGCGAGCGGCGGCGTAGCTTATAATCTCCTTAATAGTGTCTTGTGAGTAAACTTCATTAGGTGAATATGCGTCCTCTGTCATATCAGGGTAAGCCTTAATCTCAATGGGCCAGGCTTGATTGTCCACCAGATGCCAATGGAGCACATTAAGCTTGGAAAGGGACATGGCATCGATCTGCTCAAAAAATTTCTTCTTAGAGATGAAGTTGCGTCCGGTATCAATCATGATTCCTCGAACAGGGAATAGAGGCTTATCATCGACAGAGACGGGCTGTTCAACAATCAGATTGCCTTTTCCATCGTTGATGACGATTTGTTGAAGAGTTGTCATGCCGTGAAGAGCACCATAGACTGTTTTGGCAGAGATCTTGATGGTATCGGACCCAGCCGTGATCTCTAGGGTGTAGGATTCGTCGACACCATGTTGGAGTTGGGCGTGTGAATCCGCAATCTCAACTTTCACTTTGGATAAGGAAGCGGTGCAGTTTCCGGTTCCATACTGTCGCTTGGATTTGCGCTTCGAGCCGGCAGTCGGAGTTGGGAAGGCCTGGAATGATCGGATGGGGGCTTCTGTAGCGGCAGGAATCCATTTCACTTTAGTAATGGTTTTGGTGATGCGGTCGAAAGCTGAGGATAGGACTTTATGGTCCGGAGCATTAAGCTTGAGTGTTCCAACGGAGAAACAGCCAGTAGTACCCCAAGTAATTTTCGCAGGCTTTGGGAGCGGGTTAACGGCAACAGCCTCAGCATGTCCAGCAAACAGGACTGAGGCCGTGACCAGGGAGGTCAGTATGAAGTCGCGCATGGTAATATTAGATCTGCGTGGTAGGTGTAGGGAAAATGTGTTGAGAAAGGGGAACGAATGACTTTAAGCAAAGCCCCTAACTAGGTATGTTCTTTGAACGAAACAAAGTGACAAAGCAACGATCAGTGGGAAACAAGGATATTTTAAGGTCGTTCAGCTCTCACTGCGCCGCGTTGGGTAATGAGTGTCAGGGACCAAGCCCGGGATCTGCATTGATTCACATTGAACGGCTGGTGATCAAGCCATGCGCTAGGGCACCATTCAACGGATGTGGCCGTAAGATTGGCCAGTAGTTGCTCAGCCTTGCTGCATGGTGCCCGAGCATGCATAGAGCCTCTCCGCGATGCAACAATGCAATCCACTCGCCAGCGCGCCGCACCGCGTCCGCTAAACAGTGGCTGCTGTGTTGCAACCTGCCCCTCTCACTCCAGGTCTTCGATAGAAGGTAGGTCACTTGGTTCCTCTCCGAATGAATAGGTTTTAGATCACCCGCCCCATCTCTTCATTACATATGCAGCAATGGGCTTGAAGGCTAGGCAAACCTTCGGTCCCAAACCATAGGTGGATAACCTTGTCTCCCCCTCCACCCGACCGCAGATCAGTCCTGTGCCGCTAAAACAAACGGTTGTCACTGTTTCGTGCTACCCTGTTCCGAGGGTTGCGACAGGTCATACGTACTTTGTTGAGTCTGGGGTAAACATGCAGTAGGTGGGCCTTGTGATGGAGTTCTCAAGTCATCCGTTGTGTCTCTGGCCATTCAACCTAAGCAACGAATGTAGTTGCGGAATGCAAACATGTCAAGAGACGTGAATGTGATGTTGAGCAGCAGCCCTGGCGCGATTCTCGGAAACGATACTTAGATCAGGTTTCGCTGGGGGATGGCGCCGCCTCTTCGCCCTGTGGAGACTTTTAGGGGCCAGTATGGCACAGCACTCACAATCAGCACGACTGCCTAGTACCTACCTAGGTACCAGTACCTCATTTACTTCATCCTTGGAAATTGCAGGCTCACCCCAAAAGAAAAAACTTTTTAGCAGACACAAAAACGCTTGGCGATACTTTCTACATGTAATATCCCCAATCAGCATCCTTGGCTCGCCTTAAACGGGCG